CTAGTCGGAAGCTCTGTTACCCACCCACTCCACCACCCACCTCCTTAGTCTACCATCTGCCACCCACTATGCCAACCATCTTGCTACTGCCCGCCTACACACACACACCTGCCCGACCACTACTACCCACCCACTTTTCCGCCCGCCCTGCTACTCGTCCATCCACTCGCTCTCACCTGCCCACCAACTCGCCCTCCGCATGTTCTTCCCTTGCGTGATTCTAGGGCTGGTTTCCATCTGGTCCCCACACTATCTATCCAGTCGTAAAACCGAAACATTTTAGGTTTATGAACCGTCTCTGGGAACGAATTAAATTCGAAAACCAAGGTATCACTATATATATTACACTATATACACACACCTATCATTTTTATGCATCATAATGAACCAATAAGCAGTTCTGTTGGGTGCAGTGATGAAATCAAAACACAGCATTGGGCTTCATGATATGGGCAGACAACACCAGCAATCGCCTAATGCAAGAAAATGCTTCCAATATATTACTCTCGCCGCTATGACTAGCCACAGAACTGCTATTATCACATTCCTGCCACTAAATCCTGAATCCATTTCCACAACGTTATATTGTATAGGAGCACGAGGTCATTTCATGATGTGTAGATGTACAAAACAACGGCTGGGTGCTGTGTGTGTACTTCATACTGAAGATCATAACAGTGTTCACTGATAGCTGGACATTGTTCATAGTCTATCACAATCAGAATCATATATGACACTATCATTGCAAAATACTGCAATTGCAGTTATTTATATTATTCATTAAGTCGTGGTGAGGCCCCAACCTGCACAGTTGTGCTGCACGTGCCAGTCTTGGTTACCCTCGCAGCACCGAGGCTCTCACAGCCAGGAGGAATGCAAATGATTTTTTTCAAGATGGCATCTGTTTACTGGAATCCTGAGTACAGTAACAGGATGAAAGCCCCACGTACACGAGGGAGTTTTGAATCATACGATATAAGTACTGTACTATCAAACATATGCTGACGTGTACATTCCCCCCTTGTCATCACTGTGTTCAGTATAGTGGATAATCTTGTACTCCTAAGTATATTTACTGTGAAATATTTACTTGTGTTTCAGCCAGTAGAGATTTTTCTATTTACAAAAGTGGCCTAAGGATTACAATTTGCATATATAAAACTAATCAGTTTCAAGGTTTTGAGGTATGCAAGACCTTCACTTTTAAAAAACAGGGACTACAAGCTACGGTTCCATTTGTTGGTTAATCGAGGAATTTTATCAGTTTAATAACTGTAGAGAACATGGCCTTCAATATCAACCACAGAATCTTGGGTCATCTACTGTACAGTATCAAACGTAAACACAACACCGATCAGTGTTTCTTTAACTATTTCAGCGTCATTCATCCTCGAGCCATTATCACAGGAATTCATTTACCTTTAAATGTCCTTTTATTTTTCATAATTTTTATCCTTGCTTTCCTTTATGTACTTTATGTATAATTTTGTCACACAGGGGGAGAGAGAGAGAGAGAGAGAGAAAAAAAAGAAGTTATTTCATTCAGCCTTGGGTGAACCATTCGCCAGTTTACGAAGCCTTCACAAAGACCTTACATACACCCTCAGGAATATAGCTACATTTGAAATATGAAGCAAGTTAATGTTACCATGAAAAAAAAAAGATGAAAAGCTCTGGCTACTTAGACTAAACTTGCACCACTATATACTAATATTAGCTCAATAAATCAAAGTTTTACTGTACCATATAACTATGAGACTACATTTAATGTTAATAACAGGATAATAATGTTAATTTACATTTAATAATGTTAATAATTTCTCAAGACTTAATAAATAACCTTAACATTTTTATTATATATTATATTTCATCTTCATAAATCTTTCATTTATTATTTACAATATAAAATATATGCATGTACTGTATATTATACAAGCTTTTAAAATACAGACATTTAAATACATTACACATTGCAGTGGTATGCATGTACAATATAATGTGATAATATATATGTTATAGGTAGCCCTCACCAATTATTATTTCATCCAATGCGAACCTGCTTGTGCTGACCCATCCCCCCCCCCCAAAAAAAAAACTATAGTATTGCATCTATAGGTAGTATGGATGGACTGTATAAAATATGCACTCTCACTTTACAAAAAAAAAAAAGTCCATGTTTTGTACATTTGGAATTCTAAAATGCATAAAACTCTAAAGACTGATCATAATCTAGTGTGTCTTTAGTCTAACATACACAATCTTAGGCTCAGTACTGTATATGTAAACAGAGTTGAACCTCGGTATTTGTACTGCTCCCAATTAGTCCTTTTTGGTAGTCAGATGCTATGTTCATATTTGATATTTGTCCGTTTGATTGGCATTCACACGTAAACACACATCTCTGAATCGTCAGTTTTGCCATAGCTGTCATTCAGTGTACAACCTACTACACTTTTTTCTTGGATATTTTTTACATTCTTCGTGTAAATAAATCACCATGTCATCCAAGAAAGTTTGTGATAAGAGCCAAGCAAAAAGAAAATTGGTTAGAACCACGAGAGAGATGAGTAAGTAATTATCAAAAGATGGCACCAAACCGGGAAGGCTATGTAGCACCATCAAATGCGCAGAATAATCAGAGGGTGCTAAATATCACCAAGGATGCTAATACGAGAACAAAAACGCACAAGGCGAACGATATCAAAAGTATCCGAGTCACCAAGAATTCTATTGAGGGACAGGTGATTGCGAGGGGCGGTCGGAAAGCAAGACATACGCTCGTCCTGGAAGTCAGGACATTCACGAAGGACATGCATGACCGTACGAAGGACAATGCAATTAGAACAATAAGGAGCAGGGCGGCGCTCCATCAAGTGACCATGGGTTAAGCGAGTATGGCCAATACACTAGAGAGATGAAGAAAGACACTATAGCAAAATATGAAAGTGGTGTCCATGCGTCTACTCGTTACCGAGTTTGGTATGCCCAAATCTAGTTCTCTAATAAAAGAAATGTGTGCAGAATGGGGAGAAAGTACAAAGTTTTCTTGAAAAATATCACTGGCAAACCTGACAGCGTTATAAACCTGTTGAATGACAATGCTGTCTCGCTTTAGAAACATTTTAAAGCGCAGGCAAAAGCAATCATCCTTGGTCAAGTTTCTTGTAAGAAAAGCATCCAGCGAGTCTAATGAGGAAAACAAAGACAAAAAGAGAGAACCTCAGAAGCACAACTACCAGAAGTTATAATGTAATGGTAGGGGGGACTCCCCTGCCAAAGAATCGCATCTCTACGTATGTGGAAGGTGGCAAGGCATTCAACTCTGTAGGTACAGTGAGTAGTGTGTTTGCATTTATTTAATTTAATTATTGCACAAATATATTTATTTTTGTGGTCTGGAATGGAGTAATCCAATTTACATTATTCCTTATGGGGATAAAACTTCAATATTCATACTTTTTTGGCATTTGTCCCACCCTCAGAAATCAATTAAATCCAAATACAGAGGTTCCACTGTATATATAATACATATACTAGGCCTATTTCCTCAGCCCCTCTATATAATGAATAGTACAAAATATAGACTTAAGGTACAACAGTACAGTATATTCATATTTTCTACATTCCATCTAGTTGCTATAGGTACTATCATTTCTGAATGGCAGGCTGGCATATGTAGCGTGTAGTTAACTTGGAACGAGTCATTATATGCCCAATGTTATGCAAATAATCAAGTAAGCAAGCAGCTATGGCTAATGAGCGAGTCATCTGTTGAGGGCTAGTCTTTTCTGCCACTGTTGGCTCCTTCAGTTTATCTATTTTAGATATAAATTTAGAAACAAGGCAATTACATTGCAAAGTGTACTTTATGTGCAATCAGCAGCACAGGTAAGAGGCATTGTTAAAAAGTGATGACATTACTTGAAAAGTAAGTGGTAAAATTGGGAAAAATAATTAAATATGGTCTCAAATTCACAACTATTTTTTCCCCCCAGAAACTAAGCACTGCTAATTTTCCACGAATGTAACGTGTGTTTCGAGAGGATCACCCGTGTGCTGTTTAAATCGTGAATAATAAAGAGAACGTGATTCAAGAAGAAAAAATAAATTATGGAAATCCGAGGAAGCCGGGTGGAGTGGTTATTGGGTTTGCCGACTTGCTACGTAGGAAGAAGGTTGTGATGTTTAAGTTAGATGTTTTATATGTTCTTGTATTTTACATACGTGGAGCAACTATTTATTTACACAGGACAAAAATAGTGATCAAGTAATTTATCTAGGCCTACAATGTAATGTGTACATCTACACTGCACATATATCTGTTGCAGAAACTTCAAAAGAAACTGTCTTGCATCCCACTCCTTTACTGCTATTCTGTCTGGCAATGTTGTTCAGTAATAGATTCTAACACTGGCGGGAAAGGTTAAATTGTGATTTGACTAATCGCAGGCTAGTGGAACAACCTCATTGCACAATAAGCAATTAAACCATAAAACATTTTAAACTATTACAACCATATACATGTATTATAATATTTACATTTATATAAAACCCAGACTATAATAACTAAAATCAACATATTATGATAACCCCCATTACCCTGGGTCTCAAAGTATGACAACTGCACTTTAAAAATTTACTCTCTTTACCCCCCCACCCCACCCCACCCCCATGTGATTCGTCATTAATATATGCACACATTTGTGCTATTTTAGTGCAAATAAAATCGCATTGTCTATAAAGAAAAAATAAAATGGCAAATATTGCTGCAACAGAAGGTCCTAGAACATATTATTCAAAATGTGGTTTTCTAGGTACATAAAAGTGCTAACATTATTCCTTTAATTTTTCACTAATTTATTTTGCACACACAGTACTGTGTGTGTCTGTGTGTATGTTTCATTGATTTATTTATACATATTATTTATACATATTATTTATTATATATATATATATATATATATATATATATATATATATATATATATATATATATATATATATATATTAGTTATTTATAATATGTATACATATACACAATTCCATTACTGCAAAACTTGGTGCATTGAGCCGTGTATTGTTTGTGGAAATATTCTATCGGTATTGAAAAAACTACTCTAGATTTGTATAAATATTAAATTCATGATGTACAAGTGTGCATATTCAGTACCAGTATGTTTTTATTTGTGCACGTGTTTGTGTAGGTGTAATATGTTATACTTGCCTTGTGCAGCAGCATATTCATTGGGCACAATATCCAACAGTAATGTTACTGCAGCGTTAACAACACTTCAACGTTGAATTAATTTTACTCTTGGATGTGGATAGCTTGCATTTGAATTTTGTTTAAACATGACACAAATTGACACCAAAACTGGACATATACACTAAAACTGGACATATACAATATAAGAACTGATCACATGAACACTATATATATATATATTACAAGATGTGGGCCAAAACAGCAGGAATGACTTGCCTCGACAACACTTGGGACAGTAAGATATTCCAGTATTCTTGTAACATGTTACAAACTGAGATGGTATCAAAATTTTTTCGGAAACTGATGTAACATGTAACACTTAGTCGCTACAATGTGCACTTTGGTTTGCCTCTTTTGAGGTCGAACAACCTTCAGAGATTTTAAGCTGCATCTCGTCTTCTTGAGTAGTTTAAGAGATATTACATTTCAAATACGTCGTCACACGTCAACGCGTAAAAACTTATCGTTCACACTTACACTCCTACTTTTGAGCAGTTTATTCACACACATTTTTTCCTTAAGTATTGTGGCATTAGTATAAACACATTGACAACCTTACATGCAGTCATACACAGTATGTATACACAGTATATAATAAATTGTAAGTATATACTGTATGTACAATATATATTATATACTGCACTGCAAATATATCGTACCTAACGGCCAGAACCACACTAATATGCTTAGATAGGCAAGGGACTATTTTTCCTATTAGGTGGAAATTATTGTTTATTTTCTCTAGTTTGTAAAATATGCATTACACTTAATTAAATTGGTTATATTAATAGTATATTTTAGGAATAATAGGCATATATGGATTAGGTCAGACAGTTAAGCTAATTTTTGCACAAAATAAAAAGTCCATATCATACATAGTGTATTAAAATTAAAGTATCTATCAAAATATAAGATATATAAAAAAAATACACAAGATTTGAACGTAAGAGCAACTCTGGCTATTAAATATGACATACTGAATATATAATTAATATACATGTATATAATATACACATGTATATTAAATACAGGTCTGTATATATATTATAAATATATTATACAGGAATAACGTGTATTTATGCCCACAAAACACACGCACACACTCCTTCACATTCACGCATAATCAAATACAAGCATTATAATTTGGATGATGTGGATGATAATTCGTAGAACAGTACGTATGCTTCGGGACTGCACACTCTCCCAGGAGAAATATTCGACACTCTGCAAAGAAAAAAATGATTATAAATTGCAACTCATTATTCAGACTCTTTGCCGTTGCCATTGCTAGCTGGCTGCACACAGTTTTGTTCCCTGGGAAAACTTAAGAGTCTGAGCACCCATCAGCTCAAATCATCGGATTTTTGTGAGGAAGAACACATCAATACTCCAAAACCCAGAGAATATCTTGTTTGGAAGGAAACAATACCAAATTTGTCTACAACTGATGGACAAACAATGTTAATTACCTGCTGCCCAGCTGACTGGTATTCTGCTCAACCCAGTACGCAGCAACCCAAACTGTCGCACTGCACTCGTCACCCAAGACCATTTTTTTTTTTTTTTTTTTTTTTTTTTTTTGTGAGGACCATATTACTAACCAGGTCACTTAAGACAATGAGACTAGGTGGCAACACTCCAGACAGGCATTTATGCATTCAAGACAAACCTTCAGTGGATTACAAAATATCAATATCTCAGTGTGGATTGATTCTAAAATGACATTCAACAAGCAAATTCAATATCTGAAGGAAAAAGTAAAATCACGACTGACATGAGAGCAATCACAGGGCCCTGTCTAGGAGTGGGACACAGTGTTAAGAATGTTCACATGCACGCCATTCGTTCCCTAATTGATTACGCACCGCCTGCCTTACTCACTCTTTCTCCTGGTCAGTGGGCAAATGTTGAGGTTATTCAAAATGATGCATTGCGAGTCATAACGGGTCCCAGAGGGACAAAATATTGAACCCATTATAAACCAAGCTAACGTCGATTGAAATAAGGGTAAAAAGGATTGCTGCATGCATGCAGACCAAGATATTGAGTAGACCTAGAATCAGTTCACTTAAAGATATAATCACTGGAGCACTAACTCAGGAAAGTCTCCAATAGCAACAGATGGACCTATTGTGCAATAAGCACCATCAATACATTCGCTATATCAAATATAGTCACAGAGGGGTGTCGACAAAATACAGGCAGACTTCATTATGCAAGCCCCTTGGGAATCGCTGCCAGCAGACTAAGATTATGGCTCTTGAAGGAAAAAAGAAGCCGACTAATCCTCATCTGCTATGTAATATTGCACAGATGCATATAGAAACAAACTTGGCATCTGACAGCTTTACATACTTCACAGATGGATCAGTAGACCAGCAGGGACAAGAAGCCGGAGTTGCAGTTAAGGCAGGAAACTAAATAGTTGGAGACTCTCAAATGGGTGTTCGACTTTACAAACATTCAAGCTAGCCATTCAAAAGGCTTTGGACATGCTTTTGCAGAACACCGACAACACGTTATCATGCATACAGATTCGAGAACTGCCATTGAAACCTTGTAATAAGAACACATACGTGACAACATCCATCTGATAATACATGTATTCTCATTAATGCAAGCACTCAAACGTCAAGGCTATCGGGTACTTATCAACTGGGTGCCAAGTCATGTGGGAATAATAGGAAATAACATTGAAGATACAGTGTGTTACTGTGTAAATAGTGTGTGAAACTGTACATATTGTAATTTTAGTGATTTTTTAACCAGGTAATATTGCAACAATAAACATTTATTGTGTACACATTACTGACATATGTATCACAGTTCCATGGAACATTATGAACATTCTACTGTATACATATTGTAAAGGACACAAATATGCATCATATACGATAAAAAAAAACATAAAACTGCATTGGAAATACATAAAACAAATAATTGAAAATATATTTGTGGCAACTCCCGGTGCTTGAAAGGCCCGCGCGACCAGGCCCCGATGACTGTCACAGCCAAAGTAAGTGGAATTTGGTATTTATTTTTACATAGACATGTTCGGAGAAGGGAATTTATCATTTTACAAAGAAAAAAGAATTTTTTGGGAACACTATTTCATGCGCACCGGGGAAATTTCATAATAAACTTGGTGCAGCACAATGGTTAACCCTTTAACTGCGCAACACATCATATGATGTGTTCAGTGACTTGCAGTAACTTGTGCTCCACATCATATGATGTATTGGAGTACTACGCAAGATTTAAATGACCCTCGGATACACAGGGTTCACCACACCTTCCTCAGGGCTCTTGTAAACAGACGCCATTTAAAAAAATCGTGGGCCAAATTCCCTGGTGTGAGGGGCCTCAGTATTGAGTGAGCTACCAAGCCTGACGCATGCAGCACTGCTGTTCAGCATGTGACCACAGCATCGCCTAAAAATGCCATAACATGCATGTTCTTGCTATTATTTAGCGATGATATTATTACAGAAGACCCCTGACTGATAAAAATGACCAGGATTCTGATAATAGCAGGATTGCTGTGATAATTAGCGCTGTAGTGGGAGGAGTAATCTTGGTGGGGAGGGAGGTAGCACTGTCTGCTGACTGTGTGACCACCTTTTACTGTCTGGACTCACTATACCAGCTTAGTTGTTCGCTATGGTAAACAAAACATGCAGATACTTATATATAACGTCTGTATATAAAAGAAAAAACAGTATGGTGGGAGGAGAATGGTGGTGAGTCAGGTGAGGTGAGGGAGGGAGGGAGTGGCAGCAAGTGGCGGGCTGCCACTGCCACTCAGCATACCAACTTAGTGGTTCGTTTTGGTGAACACTAATGTAGATACTTTATATATAAGTGTATATACAGTGTAATAACAATAAAAGGAGTGTGGGGGAGAAGCCATTTTGGTGATGGTCTACCCGAAACGCTTTGCATAATAGTGACTTTAGGCATTGTATGTACTAGCTCTATCTATAAATTCATCAATTTTCATATCACCCTTTGTATGTATTTTACCTAAATAAACATTTGAATTTGAATTTGATGGATGTGGCAACATCTGCATGATTTGTCATGTTGGTAGGGGTGGCCACTATGCTCTTTGGGCATTATACTGGCTTAGTTGAACAGTTATGGTGAACAAAACATGTAGATACTTATATATATATAACGTCTGCGTATAGGGTAATAACACCACAGACAGTATTGTTGGGGGTGAAATTTTAGTGCGTCTGACCTTGAATGTGTGAGGGAAGCAGCTGCCACCTGACTGTGTGTAGCGACGTCTCTTAGTGCCTAAACTAACTATATCAACTTAGTTGTACAGCTGTGGTGAACAAAACATGCAGATACTTGTATATAATGTCTGTATATAGTGAATAAAAGCAAAAACAGTATTTTGGGAGGAGAATGTGGGTGAGTCAGGTGAGGCGAGGGAGGGAGGGAGGAAGTAGTAGCCAGTGGTGGGCTGCCACTGCCACTTAACATGCCAACTTAGTGGTTCGTTATGGTGAACACAAATGTAGATACTTATATATAACGTCTGTATATAGTGAATAAAAGCAAAAACAGTATGGTGGGAGGAGAATGTGGACGAGTGAGGTGTTGAGGGAGTGAGTGGCAGCGAGTGGCTGGCTGGTGTGTGGCGGTCACTCCTCGTTGCTTTTTGACTCATAATAGCAACTTGGTGGTTCGTTATGGTGAATAAAACATGCAGATACTTATATATAACCTGTGTATATAGTGTAATAACCGACAAAGTATTTGTTTACTGTTTGATGAACATAATTGAATCAACAATATGCACACCATATTTTTGAGTACAGCAATGATTCACTCATTTTATTATATAAATATAACGCACTACACACTATTGAATAATATTACAGCAAAAAAACTACAAAAAATCAATCAGAGACATTGAAATAATTAGGTAATTATCTCTTTGTGGCAACTCCTGCCTGACAGCTGGCGAGCAACAGACCGTCTGGGACGCACGCTGAGTCAGCGCCTGTTTTTTGCCAGACTTCCCCACCCTATAGCGGGCAATATATGCCACTTACGATTTTTTTATTATTTTTCCCATGATCAGAGAACACAAATTAACAGGTTTAGATTTTTTTTTTTGGGTATGCACCTGTGGGTGACAAATGCTAAATAGCCCGGAGCCACACAAGGGTTAAGCACGAACTGAGGGCAGGGATGAGTTGATAAATATACATTACATGTACTACAAACCTTTCTTTATGCATAAATAAAATAATTATACAGTATAGCCAACCTTAAAAATGTATAATCATGCGACATACCTTGAGTCATTGTACTCGTGCCAGGTGCCTGAATAGGGATGTTTGCAGTAGGCAGTATAATGGCCTGAATATGTAGTTCCGGAGTGGTTGGCAACTCCACTGAGGTTGTAGAGAGGTGAGGCACTCGAGCTTGATGCATATTTGGATAGATTAAGGCCCTCCAATGGAAATTCCACCGTGCATGATAACTTTCCCCGCCATCGTTCTAAAGGTGAAAACCTCTTCAAATCTGTATTCTAGGTTAAGGAAAGTCACCACTGTAGAAGAAACATTGTTAGTAAAGTCACTTTGAAAATGCATGAATTTCAATGGCTCTATGCAAAGCAATATTATGGTACCTATATCTGTTTACTAGCAAGGACAACTATCCGTAACATGATTAAAATCTTATATATAATACTCTACCTTTCACCAAGTTTGGCTAGTGCCAGATTACCCAATAGGCCAAGTAGGCTATGGCCTATGGTCCACCAGCACCAAAGACCTCACCAGTATCAGGGGGCTCACTAACACTTTTTTTGTACCATAAAAATTGACATATTTCAAATACATACTCTGAGTAATCAATTACTTTGTAACACTGCCCAATTATTTGTCCCTGTACTGTACACATTGTCATGCTCAGTACTGCTAATGCTGTTTGGCCAAGGACCCAAAATATGGTTAAATCTAGCCCTGTGTTTGGCAATACCTGAACCATAAGAACATTTTGAAAGACTCGTCAAAGTAATTATCAGACTTTTCCCCAACAGCCACCAGATGGGGACAACCAACAGAGCCCAAAGGAAATAAGCATCTCACACTCTTGCCTTGTGCACGGCTGGATGCATCAATAGTTCCCTGGTTATCATCATCTCACAGTCAAAAAGGATAACTCTTCAAATTATGTGCAGGGTGTCCATACTTTAAATATATTTAACCAGACCACCTTCTACAAAACAGCTAAGCTGTTCCACAATTATTTAACACTAACCATTGTAGACTATTAGTAATGAAATTGAGCCAATCGATTAATTTCGATTAGGCTATAATTTAATAACCCTCAGGTTGTGAAGGAAAGTTCCTAGCAGGACCATTATAGAATCATACAGTCCACTTTAATTAATAAACTAGAAATAATGTAGTAAAATAATAATCATTAAAGAAATAGATTCCTGCTAGGAGATTTTCTCCACACAGAAGGCATGGCAGGATGTGCAGAATACCCCCGTTGAAAAGCAGAAGTGCAATAGGTACTCTGAGAGAACTATCAAAATTAGAGGCCAGAGACTGTTTAACACACTTCCACTATACAAGGGGAATAACTAGCCGACCCCTCGCAGTGCTTAAGAGAGAACTTAATAAATACTGTACCTCCAACGTATACCTGATCAACCAGGTTGCGATTCATGCGTCAGGCTGCGTGCAGTCGTGTCCAACAGCCTGGTTGACCAGTCCAGCAACTAGAGGCCTTGTTGAGGACCGGGCCGCAGGGATGTTGAGCCTCGACATCATCGCTAGGTAACCAGGTGATCAGACTTGGCTGGGCTTGGTTTTACAGTATTTCTTCAGACATCTTTTTTTTACTTTTTTTTCTTCTTTTGTTCCCTATCTTTTTGGTTTTCTTCAGCTCCTCATCTCTGGGTGGTTTTATATTGAATTAGTTGGGTGGTTGTCTAGTTCACCATTTCTTCACCCTGGCCTGTACATTGTAGGCAATTATTTGAGTTCCTACTTTGAGGTACTCGGGGCTCTGTGGATGCTCCATGCCTTGCTTCTTTAGCCAGGTGTTTAGGTCTTTGTTCTTTCTTTACTTTAGGTAGCTTTGGTATCCACACTGCTCTTACTTTATGCATTCACTGCCAAGGTTTAGCTGAATGAGTCTCAGGATCTAGTCAATCTGATTTCAACAGCCATCTTGAGTGTTTTGAGCTAAAGCTTGGCAGTTTGATATTAGCCTGCTTCACTTGAGAGCCTAGGTCTTCATCTGATGCACACACAGCTCCTGTGGGTGCTGGGTTTTCCCACTCTCCCTTTGTTCTTTGCATTGCCTTATTTCTGACTTTTTTCCTCTTACCCCAGTCTGCCATTGAGGGGAGTATTGGTGCAACCTGTTCTTCACATGCAGTAATCAGGATTAACTTTTATTTCCTATCTTTGCTCACCGAAAGAATTGTTTTATTGGTTCTGCACAACTCTCATTGGTTTCTTTTGCTCTGGAACATGTGACTGACTAATACCACCCTTGGAAGACGGTGACACCACGAGTCCTCACCAGTAATCCCAGGTTGTTGTTTTGGCCTATTCTGTTGGTGTAGTGTTCTTTCATCAATTCGTCTACTTTTACCTTGGTGTATAGGCTATAGGTGCGTAGGCTTCAGATGATTAAGTAAAAGTTGCATGACCATCTCCTCCAGAAGCTTTTGCCTATAATATATGCACATTCACAACATATCATTTCAGACTTCATGGTTCAGGTTTTTCTCAGATTCAAGTGCATTACGCACCTTTTCCTCTGGCTGTTGGTTGTTTTTTTGTTACAGTGAAAATGGGGATCATGTTTTAATATACTTTTTTTGTTAGCTTTGTGCCATGTTCCTCTGTTCTTGAACAATTTTCTTTGTTTATTTACAGGAAGTATAATCAGTTTCATCTCTTCCAGACCCCATGCATCTCAAGATATGGACCTGGATTTCACACACGTCATCAGTGTGTGACCTACTGTACACTGGCCTAGTGTAACAAAGCATTATTTTGAAGGTAAAATTTTGCTTCTAATATCTTTATCCAATCTCTCAAATTTAACAAAGACCTTATATAAAGCAATTCTAAAATTAATTTTCTTGTGATTATATTTCATAAAAAAATATTTCAAGCATCATGTCTATGGGAATAGGCACTAAAGATACTGTTAACAAGAAACTGGGTTTGATCCCCGGGCAGGACAAATAGTTGAGCACATTTCCTTTCACCTAATGCCTCTCTTCACCTACCAGTCAATAGGTACCCGGGAGTTAGTCAACTGTTATGGGGTTGCATCCTGGGGAAGATCAGTAGTATGACCTAGGGAAGACCTCAAATATAAGGATAAAGTATACCTACATACACAGGCATCAACAGGAATTATTTATTTTTTCCAAACTTCTATATGTTAACGAGGAGGTTGAAAAATAAATTGTCATCGTCTGGGTTTAGTTGGGGGTTATTTGGCAGCAGGAAGGAGTCAGAGTACCAAACTGCGTGGCTTTTTCTTTGTTTATTTTATAAAATATATATATACTGTACTTCTACATTGGCCACGTACTAGCCCGGAGTGAGTGAGTGAGCAACTGCACAGCTCTGATGCTGAAGGAAGTCTGCCCTGGGGCGATGGAGAGAGAACGCACCAGGAAAATGCACTCTTAATGCCGTGCTGCAAACTATTGTTGTCAGGGAGGGAAGAAGATGAATAAGATGCACAAATGCAGTTCTGCTGAACTGTTGTTGACACTCCTACTGTGTGACCAGAGGCGTCCAACATATAGCAAGTTCACCATTATGATTGTACATGTGATTTTAAGTTTAAAGTCAATACTGCACAATGAGACACTTAAAATACATTACTGTAGAGCATAGAAACTGAGTAAAATGCAGACTAAGCTACTGTATTCCTACAGGAAATGCCAAATACAGTATAGAGGAATTAAATATCAATAACCCACACCACTAGTCAGCTCAGATTCACAAAAGGATACGAAGAACAAAAACTTTTGGAAACTTCTGTATGCTGAAGGTTTTTGTCATTTTTCTTCTCTCTTTGCACTTGGAACATGTCTGCAACACAAAAGCAGTTTTAAGTAAATATAAAATAAATTTATGCTAAAATTATATATTTTAGATCTTAATATAAAGATTAATATGAAAAGATCTTGAATCTTAATATGAAAATATTTTATGATCATTTTATACCCAAATTATACATAATCAACACAACTATTGCAGTAATACTAAAAACCACTATCAATTATTTAAATATCCAATAATAAATATCATTTAATACAAAGATACTGTACTGTATTATAAACTCAGACGTGTATAATACTCACAGGTCTTTCATCTCCATCTAGTACTTCTTCCTTGGTGAAGAGGTCAAGGCACTGCGCTAGTCGAACTTGACCAGATTTGCTGGGAATTGGTAGACTGAGATCCCAAAACGGATCAAAAGTTACAGAACAGTGACCACATACAGAACATTGTAGACATGACTTCAACTGACCAACAAACATATCTACAATCTTGCTGTCGTCATATCGAAGATACCGTTTCCAAGATTCCATCGCTTTCTGGTTGTCACTGAAAGGAAACAAAAAAGGAGAAAATGTAAGTACTTGTACTGTATAGTATAAAAATATTTTTTTACACAGACGAGTGCAGGAACAGGCTGACTCCCGTTAGCTGGCCGTGAGTTTTCCCTTCCCATAGCTCATGGTTAGCTTTACCCTACTAGTTTTACACACAGGTGGGTACAGGAGCAGACGACTGCCGACTCCTGTTAACAGGCCGAGAGCTTTCCCTTCCCATAGCTCATGGTAAGCCTTACCCCTACTAGTTTTACACACAGGTGGGTACAGGAGCAGACGACTGCCGACTCCTGTTAACAGGCCGAGAGCTTTCCCTTCCCATAGCTCATGGTAAGCCTTACCCTACTAGTTTTACACACAGGTGGGTACAGGAGCAGACAACTGCCGACTCCTGTTAGCAGGCTGAGAGCTTTCCCTTCCCATAGCTCATGGTAAGCCTTACCCTACTAGTTTTACACACAGGTGGGTACAGGAGCAGACGACTGCCGACTCCTGTTAGCAGGCTGAGAGCTTTCCCTTCCCATAGCTCATGGTAAGCCTTGCCCAACTAGTTTTCCCTGGAGCTTGACCTGCCAATTTGGTTAGCAACCAGGTACCCAATTACTGTTGGGTGAACAGGAGTGAACAGTTGTTAAGGATTGGTGCACATTCAATCATCCTTGACCTAGGCTCAAACCCAGTCAGTAATTGTATATTACAGTATAGAAAACTACATTACTGTACATACATCACTTTGGCCAGAGTGTTATTTTAACTGAACTTAGTTTTAAATTTATTGTATAAACTTTAACACCATTTGTATTAAACTTTACTTAACACCATTTGTATAAACTATTTGGTAGGAATCCAGTGTTAGACAATCTATATAACTGCAGTATCTGTCATTAGTGAAGTGTCTAATGACGGTAATCTGTCATTAGGCAATTCATTGCATGTCACTGCCTATCATTGCCTGTCATCAAAGACAGGCAAGATATACAATAACCAGAGCCAGGACTTGACAAGTATTGGCAGTTTTGTTTACAATTATTAATGTAAACAAAACCACCATGATTAAGGAAAAATGTACATTGTTTGCAGCTGGTTGCGTAAGTGTTAAATTAATCTTTGCCCCGATATGGCAACCTGCAAGGTCTTCTCAAAGCTCTTAAGTAACAATATCTCTGATCATAATAATGCCAACACTTGAAAACTAAAAAAAAAAACAATTATGACAGGTAAATGGTTCTTAAAATTTGTGCTATGACAATTTTTCCATGACCAAACTAATATTTCTAAATAAAACACCCTATTTTACTTATTTAGAACTAGTGGGTCCCACAAATAATTAATATCAATTACTGTTAGGATTGATAGGGATTTGTAGTATTATTTATTACTTGGGTTGGGCTTATATTATTACGTAGTTACTTTTTCCAATTACTATACTTTGCATTTTACTGTATATTGATACATAAGAGTTTATACCAGTGAGTGGGGCTTTGTGTTGGAACATCCGAATGTTGGATGTTCTGAGTGGCTTAGATATGATGTCTTGATTCTTGGTGGATGTTCTAAACGGGCATAGACATGTTTTCATTCTGCCTAAACCTAACAATTACTTACAAAGCCACTTGGTAAACAAAATATTACTATACTCCATTCATTATGAGACCTTGGCAAGATGACTATACAGTACCAACATTTCCACTACTGTAATGCCTCATTGTGCCAGTTCACCCTTGTGTGTATATGCAAGTCAACAACCACAATATTTACTACAAGGATCTCTTAGAACTGTTGGCTTTGTCATGTATATACTTAAAATTGGCATTCTGGATGGGATAAATTATTGGGAACGTTTCCTATCACCTAATGCTTCTTGTTGATATTGCAGTCAATAGGTACCCAGGAGTTGGGCAACTGTTGTGGGGTTGCATCCTGGGGACGGTCAGTAGTTCGACCTTGTGGGGTTCTTGATATAAGCCAAAACTACAAACACACATACATACAGCTGCTTCCTCTCCCTAACAGAACTAATTACCATAAATAAAGTACATTATGCTTTACACAATTTATATGGCCTATTGTATGGTTTCCCGTTGTTGGGGACATGATCCCCGCACACACGTAGGGTCCACGGTTCAAAATTCCTACAGCCCAGGTGAATGGAATGAAGAGGCCTGCTAGGCTTCTCACAATAAGATGGACCTCCACAGGATGTAACTTACAAGTTTCTCAACTACCAAGCACATATCCATTGCTAGATTAACAGAAGCATCAGGAAACGTGTCCAAACACGTGTTTGGAAACGTGTCCAAACACGTGTTTGGAAACGTGTCCAAACATCTCGTCTTGTGTTTTAAGGGAAGAATTTTTTAATTTATTAACATAAATCATTTACATAAAATAACATACTTCAGTGTTTAACTTGAATAACCCCCACATGATATTAAATTAGTGACAACATATCAGTCCATTCAGGATCCTTATCCCCTTGTACACAAATGATGACTTATTTTATTTAAGAGTGGATTGGGTTATTCATTTCAACTACATTGTGATATTCTCTGCACTGTTTCTTATAAATACTGTATGTGACTTACTCCAAGTCTTCATCAATATCTTCTGTTATAGGCTTTGGCTTGGCAGTGACACGATTAACATCTTCATGCAAACCTTCCAGCAACTTGCGAAGGAACTCCTGAGCATCGTGCTGCTGGTAACCTGAGAATACTGGTGCAAACCTCTGGATTTGCGATTTAAATGGTCCCGTGTTGAGGGCTCTACTGTTATCTCCCCCCTCATTCCACATGTCTGACAGTAAGTTGGCGAAGGCTGTAAAGAAAGCAAAACTTGAAAAAAAAAGTTATGTACACAGTGTACATATACAATAGTTGCATATACATACTGTTCATTTATACACCCACAGACTGGAATCAGCCTGGCCCACAGTCCAGAAAGCACCAGGGTAACAACCTGATGTCCAGGTTCATAACTTCAAGTACAGAAGCATCTCAACACACACCGAGGCTACTAGCAAACCTTAGAACCTGCCGGCGCTAGTGAAGCACACCAACTCGTCCTAATAAAAATTATAGTACTGTACTTGTAGCAACTACTGCTTGTGCATCCAAAAATTGACCATTATACCCAAAAGTTCACATTCTGCACTACGTATTTGAATGCAACATACGAAATAACAAAAGAAGTGGATTTGTAACAAAGCCTAACCTGTCCTAGATCAAAATAAGCTTATTGAAGGCATAATATATCCCAACCTAGACTTAATTTAGTACATATGTGTGCTATGATAGGCCTAGGAACATTTAGGTTTGGTATTTGCCTTTCCTTGTGCCTTCTACACAATTAATAGTATAAAACAACTTTTTTGGTGCAACAGTTGTTCTGTACGTTCAACCAACAGTTACTGTATTATCACTTGTGGACAATAGGTTGAGCGCGAACACTAATGGTGTGAAAATGCCGCCAAGAAAACATGTGCAGCCCGTAGGAAGTGGCACCCAAAGGAGATAAATGAGAGAAACGTCCCCACACCCAAAGTGAAGATGGTGCGGTAAAAAGCCAACCAGTCGAATTGCTGTCGGTAGTCACCAGCGGCTGCTAGCATAAGGAACATCTCTGACTAAGATCATGTACAAGAGAAAAAAGGGGTGAAACAAACCCTAATGGATATGAGACAATAGATGTCAACAAATAATTGCATACAACAATAATAATAATAATAATAATAATAATAATAAATAAAATAAATAATAATTAATAAATAAATAAAATGCAACAGCAGACCCACTGGAGCAGGCTAACTCCAGCTACACTGAACAATTGTGATTTTAAAAACATCTGACAAGGGAAATGAATGAAAAAGAAAGAAGGAAAGAAAAAGCTTGTTCAAGCTGCAGCAGACACCAATGATACATTTGACAATTTTAACATGCTGTGTAACCAGTAACAGCGCAGTATTTACTAAAAATTAACACTTAAAATTATTTCATAGTTAGGCCTAGGATAGGTTACATTTTGGTCCTATTGGCAATTATTATTACAGGTATTTGCAGTACATGTTTAAGCATTTATAGATGTGTGGTTTGAACAAAGGAAGAAAGGAAAGCACTGTTCAAGACAAATTTGATTGTAATCTGGAGTCACATATGTTATTTTTTCACAAGTGGGGTTTGGTGGCTTGATTAAAGAGCATTTGGCCATTATTTATGCGGGCAGGATGCTGATCAAAATACAGCAAGAAGTGAGACCACAGAGACGTACTGCAGGGAGGGTTACCTCGAGATGATTTTGGGGCTCAATGTCTCAGCGGCTTTTTTATACCTGCGGGATGTGTAACAAAAAGGAGGCCCGGTTCTCGACCAGGCCGCCTTTTTCTTACACATCCCCAGGAAGCAGCCCGCAGCCACTGGCTAACTTCCAGGTAACTATTTACTGGTAGATAAATAGGGGCATCAGGGTGAAAATCTCTGCCCATTTGTTTCTGCCTCCACCGGGGATTGAACCCGCAACCTCAGGACTACAAATCCCGAGCGTTGTCCACTCGGCTGTTAGACCCCTCGGGAAACCGAGCCTCGAACATGGTACATGGAGCCACACCCGCATCACGAGGTTGACAGGGTGGGGGGAGCAAATAAACCGCCAGAGATTAAGCCCCCATACCTAGCCACAATGAGAAATACTAAGCCATAGAAATTGTGGGTAATGCTGCATTTATACCTGAAAGCAAAGAAGCAGGCCAAGGAGACAAGTCTTACTATCTACAAACACTATTAGGCGAGCACACTCATGTACAGTGTTAGTTGGGCATCATGTTCCATAAATTTGAACCCAACACACTACACCATTCTCCCAGTGTTTCCCGATGGGATACCTCGTCTTCACTTATGTATCATAATGGTGGATACATTTAACATATACGCTGCATAAAATAAACAAAAATAAAATCCATTTTCATAATTTAGTCCAATGATTGCAAACATACTAGATATGATTTCCAATAACATACCCTATACAGTATTTCCAATATTATAAGTTTATATACAAATAATTGGAAAAATACAAATTATATAAACAATATTGCACACAATAAATTCTATACATACCGCGTATAAGGTCGCCTTTCATAGTGGATATAGTGGTATTTATGTCCGAGGAATAGCCATCTCGAACCAGATATTCTAAAAGGCATCTCGTATTGCTGAGACACTGCGTCACACTGTTCATAAAGCACTGAAATATCAATATCATTATTATTCAGTTGAACTCTTTATCAAGAAATACATTTCAATAGAACATTGGCACTTTTCACATTTGGAGTCAAACAATGTTGTATTTTGTACTTACAGATCTCACACTAACGTGATGCATCAAATGAACTGAAATTATGTACTATTATGTATATTATGAACTGAAATGCTGTACTGAAATTATGCACTCGTCAAACGTGAAAAATTATTTCTGTACAAGTAATTCTAACAGTGAGATATTATCTCCTTTGTGCAATGTTCGATCATTGTTGTGGTATGACAATTGTCATTATCAATGCAACAACCCATAATATAGTTCATTACTCTCGTCTAAAGCTGTAAACTAATACCCTGTAGCATCGTCTTGCTCCTTTAAATGGTTGTGCAATATCACTTGCAGTGGATCAATATACTGTGCAATATTTTGTAATGCAATATTACCTCCAATGGTTGTCACTTATGTGAATGGCTTTGTATTAAGCTACTTATTCAATCTCAATAAATTTACATATACATATAGCAAATCAAGAGTAGCTTCCAAAGATCATTAATTTCTCAACCACCAAGGAAAAGCCAAATAACTTGCTAACCACACAACTACAATTATAGAAATACTTTATCCACATCACTTTATACAATTACTTTAACCATAGCTAAAATTTCAGAAATACTATCCACAGGTGCAACATTTCTTTATCTGGTGCAAGAGGCAAATAAAATTAATAGCCTAAATTACACACATTTCAATATTAAAACAGGGCAATTACTGTTTTACAGAACACACCAAAAATAACTGATGCCTGCAAGCCATTTCTGGACCTCAAATTATTAAATATCAACATTGAAGCTCATGATGCATTCTACCTTCTTAATGGATGTCTAGCCCTCTTCAGACTAACCTACATTTTGAAGTGCTTTCCTTTCAATAAGGGCCACGAGCTAAGCGGGTATGACAGCCTATCGAGTTCCATGTTATAAGATCTCTCAACCTCCTCTCAATGACTTATGGTGGAAGCAAGCAACTCTTCCTGTCAGACTGTGTTCTCTCTATCCACACAGCTTTTAGACTGCCTTTTAGACAGAACTGGTCTGAATGGTCTAATAACTGGGCATTCGGTGATGTAATGTGCGAGATCATGCCCCAGTCCTTGCTCACAGAGTTTGCACCTGGAGTGCTCAGGATTGGGAGATCCATCACCTGTAGCCACTTGCCACAGGTAATGGTAACCCAACCTGGTCCTGGCAACCACTGTGTCACACAGTTGATTGACGGTTGAAAGGTGGGACCAAAGAGCCAGAGCTCAACCCCAGCAAGCACAATTAGGTCAGTACAATTAGTCGAGTACAGTCTGATAGATGTTTTATACTGCCCATAAACATAGGTTTCAGATCTAAACAAATGATAGCTTTTTTATACTAGTAATTTCAGGTCATTGGGAGTTGGTAATTTCTCTATCAGACCTGAGTGTTTGGAACAGTCTTGACAGCAGAGATAGGGACACTTGAGTTTAAATTCAATTTCATCTTTGTTACATGCTAATTTGGTTCCATTGTCTGTCATTATGATGGGTTATATTTGTGTGTGATGGTATTCATAAAGAGAAATTTAAAACCCTTTACTCTGTGCATGCGATTAGGTAATTTATAATTGCTAGTATGAGGTTCTTGCAGTCGATCTTCCAGGAGAAGTTTTCAATTGCTTGAAGAGCAGGCTTTGAATCCCAAAATATTATTCCTCCTATATTTTTTAATGTACTAGTAGCTAGTTTTAGTGCCGCTAGTTCTGTTTGTGTGAAGTCAGCCAATTGTTTAACCTGACACTGAGTGTGCAAATATTATTTCTATAAAACCTACATGCTGATGCAGTCAGTCCAGTAGAAGATTGGACTGAGCCGTCGGTGTAGACACAGTGCTCATGAGATCTAAATTTTCGACGAAGGCGGCAATTGTTGAGTGTGACAGCTTTGAGAAGATCAAGATTCTCATTACCTTTCTTGGTGACAGGTGTGTATGAATGATACTTGAATGGTGGGGTACAGATAAAGAGGAATATCGGAGACAGGTAGATTGCACTTAAAAGGAATGTTGAGTTTGATTAGATTGCAGGCATTTTTACTCTGCTATTTATAATAAAAGGAGTTGGTATGTTGGCACCAGTCAATAGAGTGTTAACAGCACTGTATAATTTGTCTCTGAGCAATGCAGGAGATGTAGGGTCTCACGACTAAGGCAAAAAGTCATGTTGACTTGCATGATTCTCTCTAGTATGGATGGAAGCTTCAGTTCTTCCCTCATGTTGATGATTCTTGTGCTTCTTGGGGCACCAAGAATTATCCTCATGGCTTCATTCTGTACAACTTTCAAGTTTGTTCAACAAACTTGAAAGTAGTGAATTAGGTGCAAAGCGTGATAATCAACTAGAGATCTAACATATATTATATAATAATCGAGCATATTTAATATTGATACCAATATTTTTACCAGTAAGTGTTTTCAGTGGTTAAAGTCTTTCTTTTAACCTACGATGTAAATCGTTTACAATGTCACTGTTGATACCAACTCCAACGTGTGCGCGCTTCCCACACGTTTCAATGTTCTGGTTGTTGACCGGTGCACAGTGCAGCGGTTAACAACCAGGTACCCATTTACTGCTGGGTGTACAAAGGTTACAGTTAAGGATTGGCACCCAGTCAATCCTCATCGGCCAGGTTAGGAACCCAGGCCAAATTGCTTGGGAAGAGTGGGGGGGGGGGCGAATGCCTTACCACTGCGCTACGCAAACTGACTTTCTCATCATACATCACAGTACTGACAATTTAGTTGTGTGTTTGTTATAGATTCAGCTACTTGGAACAAGATCCAAGTAGCACGGGCTATGATGAGCACGTAGTGGACTTACCTGGCACAGGAGCGGTGCTGTGGGGAGCAATTTAGTACATGATTTGGTTTCTAAATACTCACTGTGTTGCCGATGTTTCTTAATCCCAGCAGTCCATTGTTTTCACTTAATACACCACCACTACTACCACTACTCGAGGACGAACAGGTGCTGATACCAGACTGGTGGCGACGCGGCGGGGAACCTTCCTGTAAAGCAAGGAAAAATGGCGATTCAGTATAAGCTTAATTACGTGAAAAAGTGCATATTACATCATTGCTGGTAATCATGCCTTAATGGTTGTCATGCGTGATCATTTAAGCTGTTAATAGTGAGAAGAAACTCTGCCCATTTCTTTCAGCCTCCACTGGGGATCTGACCCGGAACCTTAAGGCTACGAATCCCGAGCGCTGTCCACTCAGCTGTCAGGCCCTCCTAACATGGTGCCATGTTACAGCGCTCAAATAACCGGTTAGAAAAGGTCAGGTTAGGAAAGACCTGGTTTAGAACCAATGTTGATTTATGAAGCACATTACCTGGTAAGAGGTGTAGGATCACTGGACTGTTTCAAGAATGTTAATACATGAATGAGTTTGGGTGAATGTAAATAGGAACTGCCTTGTGAGGGCCACAATAGGCCTTCTGCAGTTTCATGTATTCTTATGTTCTGATGTTTTTAGAATCAACCTGTTCTCCTGAGCATTTTAGCGTATAATTTCCCTAAGGCTACAGACTCATGAACTAAACAAGGCAGAGGCTCTCTAAATTGACGTGAGGTCCCGTTTTCTGTTCGTGGGTTCATCAGCTAATTGTGTATGTAGCGAGTATAAGATTAACTCGATACAGGACAATAGTTTAGTTACGTGAACGCTCGGGAGAACCGAATATTCATTTCAACCTGTCGTCTCGAATATTTCCTATTTAATCTTCAAAATCCCCAACGGACAAAATATAATTGACTACAAATCATAGCGGCTTATAAACATTCACGTTTTCTATGCTAACGTCGCTCTGTTAAGATATGCTGGTTTAGTACACTATTTTCTGGCCGTTGTGGCAACTGAGGAGGACGGAATGATAAATATATAGGCTGTCACAGGAGTACTGTTTATCACAATTTTGGAGATGGCACTACCATTTGCACGCAGTTTTACGTATAGTTATTACGATTTAAAAGTTATATTTAAACTGGTACTTCAACTGAAAAAAAATCGTTTATTTATGGGTTGTTAGTATAATAAGAACCTTGAAACACATCAAGTTAATGAAACGGCAGAAAACCTATATTAGCCCAGGCTAAGGCTCTAGTTCTCCGACATTCCCATTATTGTAGGACTTTGTCCAATCTCTAAACTCTCAGATGTGTTTGCTGCCAAGTTATTGATAGCCCGACGTGTTTGCTGCCAAGTTACTGATAGCCCGACGTGTTTGCTGCCAAGTTACTGATAGCCCGACGTGTTTGCTGCCAAGTTACTGATAGCCCGACGTGTTTGCTGCCAAGTTACTGATAGCCCGACGTGTTTGCTGCCAAGTTACTGATAGCCCGACGTGTTTGCTGCCAAGTTACTGATAGCCCGACGTGTTCGCTGCCAAGTTACTGATAGCCCGACGTGTTTGCTGCCAAGTTACTGATAGCCCGACGTGTTTGCTGCCAAGTTACTGATAGCCCGACGTGTTTGCTGCCAAGTTACTGATAGCCCGACGTGTTTGCTGCCAAGTTACTGATAGCCCGACGTGTTTGCTGCCAAGTTACTGATAGCCCGACGTGTTTGCTGCCAAGTTACTGATAGCCCGACGTGTTTGCTGCCAAGTTACTGATAGGTTTCAACTGTGTGGGAAAAAAGCTTATTTATGAACACGTACAATTTACCATTAGTTTCCATATATATAAACTTATCGATTTGAAAACCTTTATTTCCAGTTACGTTGTAAATTCACCTTAATAGAACTCAATTTATACCTCAAGTCCAGGCTTTCTTTTTGGCCACCAAAGGGCACCAATTATGGGTGTGTGGGAACAGGGGCCTCGGGAATCAGCAATTGTCAGCACTCTCCTTGCCCAGCATTTAATTGTGGGATCTCTGGCACCGATACGTTCTCAGAAATGCAGAGACTGTATAGAATAAAATATTTCATCGAACTGAATACTGGACACTGAGTTGTGCAAAGGAACCTGTGACGAAGATTCGTAAATGAACAGGACGGTGAAACTGTCAGTACATAAATAACAAATCATAATATATTAGCCTATACGCAGCAGCTCTTATTTATAAAGATTGCAACGATAAAATAAAAATATATATATAAATTATTTTTTTTTTTTTTTTTTTTTTTTTTTTTTAAACAGAGTACCACCTCTGGCTGGAAGAAGGGGGACCCATAGCCTCGGAGGAAACCACACATAACGCATTGGAGGGAATGTGGGTCCCCTCCAATACAGTTTCTGTGTGCTTTTCTCCTACCACCCCCTTCCCTTTTTTTTTTTTCCTTTATTGTGTATTTAAAGGTTACAAAACATACAAGACAAATGCCTAAAGGTTATGGATCTCTTGAAGCTCCTCCGCTTCTGGACAGGAACCGAGGACGCAGCAAGCATTTCCCCTCTGGATCGCCACACTATATATTATACGCTTCGCGTCTTTGTGGGGGGCTTCGCGACTGAGTGGACAGTGCTTGGGGGGGGGGGTCATAGTCCTAAGGGCCCGGGTTCGATTTCTGGCCAAGGCGGAAACAAATAGGTAGTTTCTTTTACCCTAATGCACCTGTTCACCTAGCAGTAAATATGCACCCGGGAGTTAGACAGCTGCTACGGGCTGCTTCCCGGGGATGTGTGCGCGCGCGTATGTATGTTAGAAATTTATGTATTAGATGTAAGGAGATTAGAGATTGGGAGAAAGGTGGGGTCCAAGAGCTAATATCTTGATTCTGCAGACAAATAGTAAACACACACACCCACTTCCTGGAATAAAATAAATATGGCAAGAAAAGTGAAATTGCTATTCAGTTTTCACTTGAATTAGACAATTGTATATTGTTATAGAAAACACACACAAAGCTCTGAGAATCTGTATGTAATTGAAAGTGTGCAATCTTTTGTGATCGCCGTAGCCTCGCCGCCAAACTTATATCTACATTAAAAATAATGGAAATGACTAAAAATACACAGCTTTATGTTATTTCAATATCCCACAACATATAATACCTTAGTGGGCTCACAAGGCACTCTAAAGGAACACTCAAGAGTGAACACGCCTTTAAATTTGAATTCCACCCGCAAACTGTAAAGCCAACTATAAAGGATAGAATTCTTGATCTTTCACTCTTAAGAAACCAAGTATGGGCACGACAGATGACTGGAAACCTATATTGCACTTTTCAAAACTAATGCCAATTTAAAACCTAATTAAGACAACAGTTTGCTTAAGGTTAAAGTACGTTTACCGAGACAATAAAATACATCTCAAAGGGATAGGGTTTTTCTACCCCTATCTCTAAGGGATAGCGAGAGAGAGGCTATTTCTACCCTCAATTTGTTGGAACAAAGTGTACCGAAATCTTTAACAATATAAGCTGGGAGAACTCAGAGTTGCAAGAATCCAAATGTGCCCCTTTAGTAAATTGCAGCAATAATGCTTTTATTGAAGTTGGCACACCTCTGGAGCGTGTCTTCAGCCCTGCACCTTGCGTGTTAATGCAGAGGCTGTACCAGTAACACGAAATACCTGCTCCAGCTGACGAGGGGCCAGATTCACGAAAGTACTTACGCAAACACTTACGAACCTGTACATCTTTTCTTAGTCTTTAGCGGCTTTGTTTACAATTATTAAATCGTCAATGAGCTCCGAAGCACCAGGAGGCTGTTTATAACAATAACAACAGTTGATTGGGAAGTTTTCATGCTTCTAAACTGTTTAATAAATGTAACCAAAGCCGTCAAAGATTGAGGAAAGATGAACACGTTCGTAAGTACTTGCGCAACTGCTTAGTGAATCTGACTGGAGGCTGTCATTTGCTATACAGCTGGAACTTTTCTATACAGCTGGTATCTGTATTTATGTTGCCAGTCGTCTCCGTCTACAAGCTCTCCTTATTTTACCTGTTGCACTATGCTGTTTATCGTTTAATAGGGTCTATGTAAATACGATCTTCATAGTGTATATTTAATAGAGGAAACAAAATAGGGTCTCTATGGGACAGCTGCGTTCGTTCTCGACTCGCAAATCGCGAATCCCGGGTTCGAGTCCCGGCCGGGACAGAAATGGTTGGACACGTTTCCTATCACCCAATGCTGTAATGTTCACCTAGCAGTAAAAAAGGTACATTGGAGCCTGTTGTGGGGGTTGCATCCTGGAAAGGACCAGTAGTTCGACCTTGGGGAAGACCTTAATATAAGCCTAACATTTTAATAATAATAATAAAATATATATATATATATATATATATATATATATATATATATATATATATATATATATATATTTTATATATCAATGGGAAGCTAGTTGTTTTTAATTCAGTTACTCGGACCCAAAAGTTCCAAGTAGCACGGGCTATGGTGAGCCCGTAGTGGACTTACCTGGCAGAGGAGCGGTGCCGTCTGCGGATACTAGGCTAGGCTAGAGTACCCCCACACTTCTTATAGACCTACTCAGTCACCTCAACCATGGCACTACGCTGACAGTGGCACTGCAGGATCTCTCAAATGTTCTGAACAACGGCCTCGTGTTAGGAGTCAACCCACTCAGTACTCTAGAAGGATCCCACTGTTTCGCAGCAACTGGTGACATGTGCTAAAGCCTAGCCTCTCCCTTAAGTGTGTCTCAATGTTCAGTAATTATTTGTAACTCGGCCTCCGCAAGGGCAATATTAATACCAGAGAAAAGAGGGACTCAAACACACAGTTCATAAAATGTTCCATTGGCCTGGGATCTAGGAGACGCGAACATTTTACTTTCATAAAATGTAATAAAATTAAAAGAAAAACTGAATACAAGTTAGGTTTAATAGCCTCTTCTCAAAATTCAAATTTAAATGGCAAGCCGGCAATGAGCTCGCTAGGCTGCTTTGGCCCTTTAAACTCAAATTCTTAAGTTATTCACAGGCACTTCTTGAGTCACAAAAGAAATGCAAGAGCAAAATTAACGAGACTTGCTTCCACTTGGCTAGATCTTTTAAATTACAGACCAAATACATTACTATCACTAGCTAT